CCAGACATAATTGCTGGACTAGAGATCAAACCCAGGGCCTCATGCATGCTAAGCACATCCACAACTCCAGACATTTTCCCCACCAGATAGTTTCCATCTAAATTTGGCTGAATCCCCGAATGCACAACCCATGGGCCCAGACAGTTAATTATACCAAATTACTACAAATGGCTGACTAAAATCTTCATGACTGAAAAGATTTGGACGTTAAGAAGTGCAGCAAACTTTTTCTCCTTAAAACAAAGAGTGTGTGGGAAAAAAATATAGTACCTCACTCCCAGAACAAACCTCGAACACTAATGACTGTAATTCTGTTTTCCACCTATCAGAAATGCCCCTTCACTGTCAACCATGGTGACTTCCTTCCAGATGTAGCTAAAAGGGTACATTTATTTTATTATGTCTCTAATCCGAAAATAACTGCTTCCTTTTTACACTGAAATGTGAACTGTGGTATATAACTTAAGCAAATTATGACCAAACAATAAGTATCTGTCTCCATGGTTTTAATAAAAGCTTAAAGTCAAGCTGACCCTGGGGACTCAGACCTGTAATCCCAGCTACTTGGAAGACTAAGGAGGATTGACTGTAAGGTCCAAGATCTGCCTGCTTTACAGTGAGTTCAAGGTCAACCTGAGTAACTTAGACGGACAATGTATTAGACTTAAAATTGAAAAACAGAGATGGGTATGCATGGTACCCAACTCTTGGGAGCCAGAGGCAGAGTTCAAGGTCATCCCTAGCCACAAGAGAGTTTGAGGCTAGCCAGTCAGGGCTATCTAAGACCCTGTCTCAAAACCAAACCAAACCAAAATAAACAAATAAATAAAAGTCTAGACCAGCATGGTGGCATAGACTTCAATCCCAGCACCCAGGAGACAAAGGTAGTTGGATCTCTGTTCAAGGCCATTCTGGTCTACATAGAGAGTTCCACAACAGCCAAAGCTACATAGTGAGACCCTGTCTCAAAAAAGAAAAAAGGAAAAAACAAAAAAACCCTGAAAGAAAAGAAAGAAGGTCTGGGATAGCTCAACACTTGCCTAGCATATACAAAATTCAATTCTTGGTTTAAAAACAAAACGAACAAATGAAAAACCAGGGAGAGAGTCCTACCTTCCATTGCCTCAGTCTCCTCCCTAGCACCTACGACAGAGCTTAGGAAAGGGCTGAGTAAGAAAAGATGCTAAGAAACCAACAGCAAGTTATACCCCAGAACAGGGAACGCAAAGTCCTCCTTGGCAAATTCTCTTTAGGTGCTAGAGGTAACTGCCATCTCAGCCACTGATGAAAAGAAACAAGCACTGTTCTCTGGGAAGCCTTGCTTCCAAGACAGAGCTAATCTCTCTACAGCACTCTTTAACTTATCAGATAAACTTCACGCCAGCAATATTCCTATGACCCTTTCTAGGTTCTTGTGATCTTGTGAAACGTCAATCTTTTTCATTTCCTACCAATCACAATTTTTCTAATTCAATCTTTTCTTGCATCTGCTTACTGTGTGTAATTTCCTGTATTTCATCCAGTTTTAACCTACATTCATAAGTTATTTTTGCTTCCATTTAAAAACCCTGAAAACATTAAAAGTAGATAGTACAATTCTTCTCTCATGCAGGAAAGTTTCATTCATAGCCGTCTAATTTATTTATTTGTACTACTCTAAAATCAGTTTGAGTGAAATATCAAAGTAGGCTGCACATAACCATGTCAAAACGCCAGAAACCCACTTTCAATTTCCATTCTATCCGAATCTGTCTCCAAATGCGAGTTTAATTAAAATTCATTACCTGATGTGCCAGACATTGTGCTAGGTCCTTTGGGTACACAGATAGTAAACAAGGGGCATGGCTTAGTGGCAAAGAGAAGAGCTACTTACATTTACAGTGTACTGTGATAAGTGCTATAGCCACATAAGGCCAGACTAGAGTGTTCCACCTCAGGAGATTCAGTGCTGACTCAGCCAGTGATCTGAAGTCTATGACTTCCCTCAACCCCCAAGAGTCAAATAATCCAAACACCTTTGCATTAGCTTAACTCATACAGCACTGTGTGAAATCATTCTGGTCTGAAGTCATGTTGTGACCCAGAATTGGAAATTACTCGCTAACAGAAACTAAGCATAACTTTGCAGAAGCATCAGAGCATAGTCTTTACTCTCCATTACCCACCCTGTTCCTGGGGTTCCTCAATGTCTACATGCATAGGCAGACTCTTTTGTTGCTGAATTACTAAGGACCAAGTGTCTTACCTTCTTGTCTCATTAACTGTGTTTAAATTCTGTCACTACTTATTTTTAACCCCCGCCATCTAAAAACAAACAAAAAACAGTATCCTCACCCCCGCAAAACCCCACCTTGCTCTCAAAAGGCCATTTATACGAGCAAAACAACTCTGAATCACAAACCCACAGATGTCTTACACAAATCCTGTCCCCATACTGAAGCTGCACCTATTATCAACGTTCAGGGATAGGCTTCTGTGTGCCATTTTTATCCCAGAGCCTCTAGAACTCATGTTCTCCTACCGTTCTAGCTGACCAGTTCTTAGCAAAATTCATCTAGATTTCTTATCCCTCACAAATCCTTGTTCCAGACTGAGGCTATAATACAAACAAAACAGTGATTATACCTCCATTGCCTCAGTGGGATAATATGGAGACAAGCCGGCCCTCCAAAATTGGATGGCATGCTTCATGAAAGCTTTGCACTACCCTGAAATAGTATTCTCGGGCAACCTTCTCAGTTCTCCATTATGAGAGAAATACAAATCAGACCACCTATTTGTCTTCAATACCACAGCGATGAAAAGTCCTTTCCCAGGTGAAGAAATACAATGAACAGAGCAGACCCTACCATGCTCTACTGAGAAGCTAAACCTGTATTCATCTCTACATTCTAAATAGGACTTTCCAGAGTTCTGCTGGGTCTCAGCAGTAATGCAGCTCCAGAGTAGGTGCTAGAACACTCCCCTGGTCCCTTCTCCCCGAGGGCCATTCTATTCCTAGTGCCCTGTTGGGAGATGCTTGGAGCTGCTATAAACATCTTTTCACAGTCAAGTAAAATGTTACTCTCTCTAGACACACTAGGTTTTTGTTTGTTTGGCTGGTTTTTAATTTTATCATCTATCTATCTGTCTGTCTATTGGTGTTCTTGAAACAGAATTTGCCCGTGTAACCTGGAATTTGCTTTGTCAACCAGGCTGCCTCAAACTCAGAGATCCACCTGCCTCTGCCTCCTGAGTGCAGGGGTTAAAGGTGCGTGCCACGTCGCCCAGCTTAACACACTAGTTCTTAGCTACCTAAAAGCCCCTTGTTCTTGAGTGGACATATTATTTTACCTAGCTTTTTATTTGCTGATAAATCAACTCTAAACTTTAGGGGTCAAAACATTTAGAAGCAACCATATGAAACAGCCAGAGGCGGCCTCTGAAACAGTCTCTCCAAGAAAAAGGCAAAACTATTTTGAGTTCTAGGGGTCCTCCCGGGAAGAACGTTACCTGCTGTTACTACTTCTACATTAGTTCTGACACTTGATTTCAAAGTTCTTAAGAACATGCTCACCATCCCCACACCACACCTACCCGCCCATCTCCAGCCATACAAAACCCAGGAGAAGGCAACAACTACCAGCACTTCCGTGGCTCTCTCCTGGAGGCTATCTCAGCAGAGTCCCCTGGGTCCCACCAGGCCTTCGGAACATCACCAGCAGAGGCTAAGTGGCAAGGAACCACTCATTCCTCAGCAAACAGCTTGGGTCTTCATGCGCTGGGCTGCTCTGGGTGGAGCAAGTTCTTTCTCTGAAGTCTGTTCTCAATCACTCTTCCCTCCAGTGACAGGGTTAGACTAAGCCCTCGAATTTCAGCCCTTTTCACCAGCTTCTCACCCATACCTCAGTCAAGTGCCAATAAAAACTGTAATCTCACTGGCTAGTGAAAACTTACTAAGCGAAGCACACGCTCTTAATAGCTCCAAATTCCAAACTGCTCTAAGCCTGAAAGAAAAGAAACCTGACAGTCTTTCCAACTCTGGAAAGCTAATCTGGAGGACGAATCAACCGTTAAATGACAGTACAATCATTGAGTAAATGACTCAAAGAAGTCATTAAAAGCAGACTGAAAAAAACTGCCCCCCCCACCCCACCAAAAAAGAAACCTAAGAAAGAAATACAGCTATAATTGATGCTGCATTCTCATGATGGGGCTCTTGAAACAGTAATACCTCCATCAAGCATGACTTATCCTTTTGGTTGTGAGCCTAGCCTTTAACGGCTGAGCCATCTCTCCAGCCCCAAGCATGACTTATAACAGGTGATTTCTTACATACATTGCAGTAACTGAAGAAAAGCACGTCAGGCTAAATCTCCCTACATCCACACAACACAATAAAACCTTGTCAAATCACTAAACGCATCAAAAAAAATTTCCTACTAATAATTCTCAATCTTCTGCCTCAAGTCATTAAATGGATATGCAGAAACAGCAACCCAAGGTTACTCGAGGGTGTCAGAGCCAAGAGTCAAACGTCCAGTCTTTGGATTGAAAGTTCACTGTTATTTGTGTTTTCCTAGTTCTTTAGACCTAAGCTAAATGTCATCAATGACATCATCGCAGAAGCCAAACTTCTACCCTATCAAATTGGCACGATCAGTTATTACTCAGTATTCCAGACCTCTCTTTCCTCTGCCCTATCCTAGATCCTAGCACTGACGATTCCTGCTTTCCGAGCATGCACCTCAAATTATGAGACTGCTTTTACACCAAAAATAAAATAAGTGCAAAGCTTTGCATAACAACTGCCCCAAAAGAGAACTGGCTGTCCTCCAAGACTCGAGGAGGTGGCCATGCTGGCTAACGGGCCGAGGAGGCTCTTTCTCACGACCACGTGGGAAACGCGGACCTCCTAAAGATCCCGGAGGGGGCCGCACTGGGCCGGGGTCATAGAGGACCTGGTCACCCAGGTGTGACACCCAAATCCCCGGCCACCCATCCGCGCCCGCGGGTCTCACCTTGAGCGTCTCGTAGGCGGTCGCCACCAGCAGGAAAGCCTCGGCGCTCGGCGGCGCGCCCCCGGGGCCATCGCCCGGCTCGGGCCGGTAGCGGTCGGGGTGGTAGCGCCGGGCCAGCTGGCGGTAGGCCCGCGCGATCTCCGCCTTGCTGGCCGAGCGGCTCACGCCCAGCACCTCATAGCAGTCGCGCGTGCCGCAGTACAGCCCCTCCACCAGGGCCTCGGCGGGCCGCGCCAGCAGCAGCGGCGCCAGCAGCAGCGGCGCCAGCAGCAGCCATGGGCGTCGGCCGGCAGCCCCCGGTTCCCGGCGCGCAGCGAGCCGCGCCGCCATCCCCGCCTCGCTCGCCGCTCTTCTCCGCGCTGGGCTCGGCCGGAGCGGCCCGGTCCACGTCAGCAGGCCGCGCCTGTGCGCAGGCGCAGGGGGCGTGGCGCCGCAGCCACTTCCTTCCCCGGGCGTTGCTAGGAGAGAAGGACGCCTCGGCGGCTTCCGGTGGCTTCCGCTGGGCTGCAGAGCTGCGGCAGCCAGACGCTCGGTGTATTGTGAAGTGGAGGAAGAAGCGTGTCTGTCCGAGGCGCGCCTAGCCGCCCGGTGCGGTGCAGCCCATGCGCAGGAATAGCCACACTGCACCTTCTTGACCTCGGTCCTTGGTCCACCGCAGTGGGAGCTCTGGGCTCTTGGATCCCGTCTCCAGGCCCTGATGCCGTCCTCCCCAAACTGAAAATGAACTTAGACAATTCCGTGCGCTGCCTGTCTCCCAGGAACGCTCAAAGTCGATGGCCTTTTAGTTTCCTGTTTCTCAGCTTATTTATATTTTGGAGCAAATAATTATTTGCCTGGAGGATGTAAAACGTTTACTAGTATTCCTGTACTGTCTACAATGGGTGTCGGTAACACCACCCACCCTAATTGTGACGATCAAAAAACAGCTCAAGGTCTTGCGAGTGCCTCCGGGGGGGTGGGGAGATGGGGTTGGGATAGGAGATGCTCCATTAAATTTGAAATTCAGATAACAATTTCTAAGTGTATTAATAATTTATTTGTTGCTGTGACCAAATACCTGCAGGCAGCAACATGAGAGAGCAAGGGTTCATTTGGGCTTCCAGTTACAGGGATACAGCCTGCGAAGTCGGCATGGCTTGGGAACAAAGTGCTAGCCGCACTGTATCTGCAATCAGTGTAGAGAAATGAAAACTGTACCGAATTTGTTTTCTCGTGGTTGGAGTCAGTGACCCACTGTATACGATGGTGCTGTCCATATTCTCACCTCAGTTAAACTCTTCTGGAAAACCACCTCATCCACTCAGTCAGAGATGTGTTTCCATGGTAATTCTAAATCCGGTCAAGTTGATAATGAAGATTAAAAATGACAAGTATATCCCATGTGACTGACTCTATAGCAACTGTTATAACTGGCAACTTGTTAACAACTATATTTGGAACCTAGCGATTGGGGATTGGCCTGTACTCCTGATAGACAGTGTTAGTTAGATACTCAGAGGGAATACAATTAAAATTTACTAGTATCAGCATGGACTTTAGCTCTCTATAAACTTTAATAATTTCATTTGAAATCAATTCAAAATGAGCCACATATGAGTATTTTCCCCAAGGTGGGAAATGTCTATGAATAGCCACATTTTCAGGTTTGAAGTACACTCACACTGTGGTGGTTTGAATAAGAATGGCTCCCATGGGTTCATACATTTGAATGCTTGGTTGCCGGGGAATGGGATTCTTTGATAAGATTAGAAGGATTAAGAGGTGTGGTCTTATTGGAAGAAGTGTGTCACTGGAAGGGGACTTTGAAGTTTCCAAAAGCCCACGCTCAGCCCAGTGTCCTCCTCCTCCTCCTCTCAGCCTGTGGATCAGGATGTAGTGCTCAGCTGCTTCCCAGCACCATGTCTGCCGTGCCTGCTGCCGTGGTGATAAGGAACTAAACCTCTGAACTGTAAGCCAGCCCCAATTAAATGCCTTATTTTATAAGAGCTGCCATAATCATGGCGTCTCTTTACAGCTATAGGACAGTGACTAAGACACACGGCTAATTCACACACACACACACACACACACACACACACACACACACACACACACATTGCAGGAAGTCTTACAATTAAAATTTCAAAGTGTAGCCAGGGAGTGGTGGTGCACACCTTTGGTCCCAACACTCAGGGGCAGGCAAATCTCTGTGAGTTCGAGGCCAGCCTGGTCTACAGAGTTAGTTCCAGGACAGCCAGGGCTACACAGAGAAACCCTGTCTCAAAAAAACCAAAAAAACAAAAATTGAAAGTGGAAAAAAAGTGTTTGGTTTTTCAAGACAGGGTTTCTCTGTGTAGCTTTACACCTTTCCTGGAACTCACTTTGTAGACCAGGCTGGCCTCGAACTCACAGAGATCTGCCTGCCTCTGCCTCCCAAGTGCTGGAATTAAAGGTGTGCGTCACCACCGCCTGGCTTAACAAGCCATCTCTCCAGGCCCGGGAAAAAAAGTTTTGACGTGCATGTATTTTTACTGTTTGGGCATGCTTTTTGTTTTGATTGAGGATTTTTTTTTTCTTTTGAGACAGATCTCACTATGTAGCCCTGCTGACCTAGAGTTGCTGTGTAGACCAAGCTGACCTTAAACTTGTGGCAATCTTACTGTCTCTGCCTCCTAAGTACCGGGATTAAGGCATGAGCCACCGTGCCTGACTTTTTTTTTAAAAAAAAACTATTTAAAAAAGCTAATTTGAGGGCTGGAGAGATGGCTCAGAGGTTAAGAGCACTGACTGCTCTTCCAGAGTTCCTGAGTTCAATCCCCAGCAACCACGAGGTGGTTCAGAGCCATCTATAATGAGATCTGGTGTCCTCTTCTGGCCTGCAGGTATACATGCAGGTAGAACACTATATACATGATAAATAAATAAATTTTTAAAAAAGCTAATTTGAGCATTTCTCTTGAACTTCCTTTGGATCATATTTATAATGTGTACTTCATTACAAGTAGACTGATAACTCAATGTCCTAATTATGTGAGAGACATGGGGTTTATAGTACAGGAACAACATCAATTTCATGGTTAACCCCATTTTTAAATTTAGCCAGACTTATATGAATGCAGTCTCTCTTTGGCCTTCTCAATATACACCTACTTTTTATTAAGAGGTAAATTCTAAGAGTTGTATGTGGTGTGCATGCCTGTAATCCTAATATTCAAGATATAAAAATTTAGGATCCAGATACTGAAGCTAGCCTGGGCTACATGGTGCAAGCTTGACTCAGAAAGAAAAAAAAATCAATATGTATTTCCCCCTTATTGTTCCTGAAACCTGAGGAGGAGAAAACTCTACCTGTGTTTGTAGCTAGAGTTTTCCTGCCTGGCCCACAACGGTCAGGACAAATCTCTCTCACCCGCCAGTCCTGCAGCTGCTCAGACCCAACCAAGTAAACACACAGAGACTTATATTGCTTACAAACTGTATGGCCGTGGCAGACTTCTTGTTATCTAGTTCTTATATCTTAAATCAACCCATTTCTGTTAATCTATAAGTTGCCACATGGCTTGTGGATTACCGGTATCTTAACATCTTCTCATGGCGGCTGGCAGCGTCTCTCTGCCTCAGCCTTCCACTTCCCAGAATTCTCCTCTCTCCTTGTCCTGCCTATACTTCCTGCCTGGCTACTGGCCACTCAGTGTTTTCTTTATTAACCAATCAGAGCAGCACATTTAACATACAGACCATCCCAGAGCATGTGTTAGCTGCCGTTTTCCTTGTATCCACCATCTGGTGCTGCTTACCTCACATGTCACCACAGTAAGAAAGGGACTCTTCTGATCCCCCCACTCTTCGAGCATTCATATTTGGAATAAGCAGAAAAATAGTAGTTCACACAACCCCCTCCCCCGAATTGAGTCTATACTCTGTACCCACTAGAGTAACAACGCTGGGCAAGGATCCTGGAAGAGGATTCTGTCTCCCCAGCTTGTTCCAATGCACCCAGAGAGCACGCTGATTCCAAAACTGTCCACCAGAGGGTGCTACCCACTCCTGCAAATCTTGCACATGTCTTTTGCCTAAAATCCATCTTTAATGGTTTATACTTGCCCTACCTTTCCTTGGAATTCATGAATGAAATACTTTTCTAATGCCAAGAGACTTTAATGGATCAAAGGAGAAATTTAACACCAACTCCAATGCCCACTCCTGGTAAATTTTCTAGCAGGTTGAGGTAATGATTTTTTTTTTCTAACTATACCATTTAAACTCTGGCAGTTGAATTCAGGTATCAAGAGAAAGGATATTTCCAGAGAAAGATCTCCTAATCTTAAGTCAGATTTGATGACAACTTCCTGAATTCTGCCCTGGCTGGGACCACTGTGTCCTTCTGAAACAAAACAAGCCCCAAACATGAAAAGAGATGTGAGTCCTTTACTAAAAAGATAGACTAAAGATACCAAAAGGGCTTTTCAGATGGCAAATGATAAGATTTTAAGGAATTATCACATAAAGTTTAAGAGTATGTGATAACATTCACAGTGCTAAAGAACAAAAGAGTCTGCTCTCCAGCCACATCTGCTCCATCTTTGACAGGCCCCTGGTTTATTCTTATCAAGAAAATATTATTGGGCTGGTGAGAGGCTCAGTGTGTGACGGCACTTGCTGCCCAACCTAGCAACCTCTTCGATCCCTGGTCACACGTGGTAGGAGGAAAGACCTCCACAGGCATGCTGTTGAATGCACATGTGCATGCACACACACATGCGCGCACGCACGCGCGCACACACACACACACACACACACACACTTTTTTTCTTTAAAAATTTTTTCTGAAAGACCCTGTACCCTCAAAGTTTTTGGCTCTGATCCCATGTCTAATTGAATGTAAGTGACCTGGTCCACAGAAATGAAGTATAAACTGCCACCACTGTCAGAATAAAAGTGTCAGTGAGACAAGCAGAGTCCCCAGAACGAGACTGTGAGGAGAAAGTGGTGCAGTCCATGTCAGGTGCCGTGCAGCTTGAGCTGAAAAAGAAGCTTCACAGGAACCTTCGAGTGAATTCTGTAACTAAACAAAGCAAAATCGAGGGTAGAGTGGGAGCCACCAGAAATGAGCATTAAAAGATCAGCACATAATAAAACATCATCATCTGAGGTGAAGATATTTAAAAGGCTCATATACCTGAAAACACTGAATGAATGGAAAGACCCGGTTAGAAGCAGTTGAAAGCCAAGCAGGTAACTGGGAAGATTAAGGATGGAGCCAGGTGCCTGGACACCCAGTCTAGTAAAGAAAGACACCACAGTGTGTGTGTGTGTGTGTGTGTGTGTGTGTGTGTGTGTGTGTGTGTGTGTGTGTGAGAGAGAGACACAGAAGA